ACAAACTGACGGTCCACCTGATGGAAAGTGGTAACCGTCGCCTATAGACATGCGCAGTACCATGGACATAACAGGGTATACCGTTTCGCCCATGATACCCCCCATGCGTTGCCATTCCTGAGGACTCGGGTATTATTCCTCTGTACCCAGTAAATTTAAAGGAACAAAGGTAAAGGTATATATTTTATAAAAATGATTCAAATCAAAGAATATAAAAACATCCAGAAAACTTAGAGGTTACTTATTTATTCTCTTAATTCAGGATGTATCTAGTTGTCTTCAAACAAGTTAAAATATTGTCCATGAATTTAATGATCACTAACTCGCAGATATAACCAGCTGTAATTAACGAAAATGGAAAAACTTGTCCATGTGGACACATTGTTACTAATGACTAAATGAACTTTACAATAATATGACCTTGGGGGAGGTAATAAAAACACGCGTTGTTGTGGACATGACTCAATATGACACTCAATGCACAGAGTGTGGGGCGCGAATAAATTGATAGAGTCATCGTTTACAACTATCAAGTCAATATGGGTAACTAACTCATGTAGCATTTATATTTATGCAGCATACTGAAGAAGGACTCCAAAAATGGGTTCAGTGAAAAAGTTAAGAGTTGCATGAATCCGTGATAAGCATCCTCACGTGGCAGTTCTTTTACAAATGGAACTATTGGCGACAACTTGGCCAGCCAACCTTTGTATTTTATATTTTTTATATATTCAATTTGATACATTATGTCTTATAGACACTTCTTTTTTGCATTTTATAAAATACTCAATTGACCAAGGCACGCAAGTGTCATTGATCCCCAGTTACAGGACTTTTTATAGGTTGTATTCCAGAGTCTACACATGACCAATTTATAGTTTCTCACTTTTATCGATTCATTTGGTGTTTTACTTGGTGAAATCATATGGTAACTTCTGTACAGCCTTTAATGGATAACTCTATTTAGTGTTTTTCCTACCTATTACTACCACCACTTTCATACTGTTTTTTTACACTACTACCATTTTTATAGTTTATGCCCCATATTTTTATTAAATTTAGATTTTAATTAAACAAATTTCATTGATCTCGTTTATAATAACGTTTGAAATATTCGTTCCTTTTTTAATGTAGTATACGCGGTATTTAATTCTTTAGACATGGACAATTGACATGATTGGTTTGAAATGAAACTAGGAGTAAGATGTTGCAATTGATTCTATTTTAATTAAGAAATACCATCGCAAACTATTCAAGAACCTAATACTGACTTAAGTAAAGATGATAACTGAAATAAAAATAAACAGAAGCTGTCGTGAAACTCACATGTCTGAAGTGGAGAATCTCCCACGAACCATTATGCCAAACACGAGGTATAAGTTCAGATTAGAAAACACTACTTAGATCTCCACTACTCGCGATATCACAGTTGTCATCTTACTGCTTTATTGTATTTAGATAAAATAAAGTTGTTTGCCGGGCTTCAATAAAATTTATCAACGTTCTACTATGCGTGCCTCAAATCCTAGTGCAAACTTGGCAATGTTGCGGACAAATTACGTTTCATTTTGTTCATAGCATCGGAAACTTATTAATAGAATCCAATATCCGCCAAACATGCCGGTGCTTCTTAGCGAGATCGACCACGGGCAAGTAAACGTTGGTCAGCAGAATTATTAGGTTCGCACCACGGAGATGAGATTTTCTTTCAAAAACACCGAGTGAGTACGACTCAGTTTCGTTCGATAGCGTTCGCGTTTAATTTCGTTGCTTGGCCGCGTTCATGTCGGGAACTCCGAGCGTGTCCCGGCGCGTGCGCGGACTGCGCGGGGCGTCGCGTCGCGTCGCGTACGTCGCTCTATTCGGCGGCTCGGCCCGTTTTGGCGAGCGCGGGCGTGTTCACGTCACCGGTGCCAAGAACAAAGTGATAACAAAAACTATACAATTGATATTACTCTACATCTACGCATCATCTCTACCTACGCGACGGAAGTGTCACAGGTTGCTGTGTAACATCCGTGATTTTTGTTTTGCCTCTATTGGAATAGTGCCAACGACGACGTCTCTTGCAGTTACGTTAAAAGTAGTATCGCTCTTGATGAGGTACAAACTTCTGTCCGGTCGCAAGGTCAAATTATTCATGATTCTTGATATAAGAAAAACACAGCGTGCTGTGAGAGATTTTTGCAGTAAACTACATGAAGATGCTCGAAAGATTCGCATCTCCTATTCTAATAACAAACTCAAATTCAAATTTATTTACTGCATTAGATGCAATAAAAGTTCATTGCTCAATATCGCAAAGCACAAAGTCAAGGTTCCGATACTATTTCTGAACAGGGGAGCATGCCAATGATGACGTCTGATGACGGTGCATGGCATAACCATTGATAGATGAGATTACATCATTTAATATTGTACTTAGAAGTATTTCTAAAAGTACCAGAGCATGTTGACATGGCATCATTGACATGTGTTCAGTGATTGTCCGTATTTATTGAATACCATCTCATATTTACAAATTGTTAATAAAATAAAAACGAATACAGTCCTAAAACAAATACCATAAAGTTATCGTATTAGATAATCTGCATACAGCTATGTGTTCCTGCAGATTCTTTACATAAAAACTTATTACTTAAGCATTCATTCTATGGAAAATTACTAAGTCTGACGCATAGTGCTGATTGATCACCATTTTAAGAGTAATCCATAATCTGTAGAGAAAAGTAACAAAGGCCGCGTTTAAATAAGTTTAACAAATTATCCACTTTACGGACATGTAATTTATTACTAATTACAATTACTAATTACATGTAATGTATTTACTTATCTCTTAATTTGCAACTGTCAAACTCCATTGTCGAGAATATTATGAGGAATTGATGAATGTAGAGGAAGTGAAAGAGATGCGAAAAATCATTTAACGTTACATATTAGTCATTAAGTAGATACCGATGTCTCCCATAGAGAAATAGACATGATGATATATAGATTATGAAGCTTTTGTGCCAGACTAATTTACGAACACTTGTATTTGAGATTTATGTCAGTTAAGAATAAATGACCGCATAGAGAAGTTTGTTATTTTTAATGTTGATGCAACTAGAATATTCTCTATGACAATGTTAACAGCCTAAACTTGTTGTCAATTGTAAATAACTGAATTGGTGGTAATTTTATGGATGTTAAATTAATAAAATTAGCATAGAGTAAAAGAAAAGAAACGAGAGACGACAAAATTACAATAAAAAAATTTCAGGAATTTTAGTCTTACTCTCTTATTCATAAAAACATCCAACGTCTCATATAAACTTATTTTAGCTATTAAAGTGTTTTGTCTTTTTCCTTTGTACTAATTTCCCAATTTAAAAGAGAGTGACAAACACCCTAATAGTTAAATTAGAATGTTTTAGTTTTTATGAATACGGGGGTTAGTCTTTAAACTTTGACATGGACGGAGGAAATTATAGGACTACTAAAATTTATATTTATCAACAATAGTTATCGATGTAATACATTTTCTACGTCTATCTTTATATATAGATTTTAGAGAAAGCCCAAGCTCAATTTTGACGTCTGTTAAAGAATTAAATTAAATTAAACTTAAGTTACAGAAACTGCTAGACCAAGATAATAATAATAATCTAGCAACCAAGGACCAAAAATATTACTGTTTAGAACATGTTCCACTGGGTGTTTCAAAGAGCTAAGTAACGAAAGTTTTAAAAAAAGAAGAAACTCTATAAGCGAGACAATGAAATCCATCAACAAAGCTGTATTGTTCTTTGTCGCTATGATGATAGAGTCGAATCCGAAAATTTATGCAAAGACAGATCAATTCAAAGATAATATTTGTAAACACTTCAGTCAGAATTTGACAATGAATAAGATCAACAATTCGAATTTCATGATCGATTTATCATCTCGAACATCGATGAATATCATCCTATCGTTGGGTTTCTTTATTTTTTCTGTTACAGCTTCCGTTAAGTGAAATAACAAAAAAGGACTTTATTTAGAAACGTTTCAATTTGTAAATTTTTAAACATAATATTAGAGAGATATTTATTTAAGAATCTGCTCCAATATAGCAGTTATGCAGTCAAGTCGTAAAACAGAATTTATTAATCCATTAATGCCTAGCCAATATTTCTACTGGTATATTTTGCTCGTTACTAGTCACGACAGTAAAATACCTACACGTGCGAAATAATTTCACCGATTTTCTTGTTTTTCTCGTTACAAAAGTAGCTAGTAAATTTTCACTATCGTCATTTCCCACAGTTTTATGGAGAATGTATTTAGGACATTTAGTTTCCTTTGATAAAGTAATTTTTTTTGTTTGGGTTTTGCTACTAGGATATAATGAAAACATAATCATAAAGTAATTTGTAACACGAGTACGTCAAAGAGTAGAAAGTAGATTTTTCAAATAACTAAGAGGGGTATTTGTGATTTTCGAATGAGGAGTGCTATTAGTGGTATAGTATTCTATGCTATCGATGTATATCTAGATTATGCTGAACATCATTTTCAATCAGCTAGGTACACCGTTAGCTTGTTTGCTACAGTTGTCATCATCATTTCAATTGTTAACTATTCACTGCTTGAACGTTACACCCCCCATAGACTGCGATAAAGAATAGCTCTAAGTCATCTAATTTTCTTGTAACTTATTTTAAATTGCCCAGTGTGGTCCCGGAATAAAATAGGTCACTCCTTCTTTTCCCATGGGTCTCATAAGAACCGACTAATGGAGCATAATGGCAGAGGGATGGGCAGAAGCAACTCTCTTAAAACATTTCTAAAAGCCTAACTGTGGTTGCCAACCCGCCTGCCAAGCGTGGTAACAACTGGCAAAACTTCCCTTATGGGGAAGGCTTATGTTCAGCAGTGGACAGTTAACGGCTGAAATGATGATCATGATATTTGAAATCGTCACTCTATTGGCGCCAATTTTAGTAGATACTATAAATGATTGTTTAGAAATGACTTACCTATTGTGAAGGTCGACAGGCTTAGCCATAGTGAACTCTTTCGCGTGGACATTGAGCTTGTTTGTGGTAGCTGCCGTGGTGGGTGTGGTGGGCGCCGTCCCCGCCGTGGTCACCACGCCGTCTGTGCGGACACCTGGTGGTCAACGGTGGTCGTCAAGAGAAGAGGAGATAGGAAAGAGTGAAGAGTGTTAGTTTGAACGGAAAGGGTGATGTAGAACCGCTTTATGATGGTAGTGCTTGGTATCTTTCAGTGTTTTAATTCATCTAATAACAATATTCATAAATATATAGTTTTTTTTTAATATTTAGCAGAAAAAAGCATTAAGTGTAGAAAACATATTTTAAGCATATGTGTTTAAACTAATTATTTGGGCATGTGTGCGTTGGTTTGCCCTTGCCGATTGGGCAGTTCCAAGTTTATTTTACTGGATTTGTAGTAATAACAATTGTTGTTGTTTTGGATATAATTTTTAATATTGCAACTAAACTAGATAAATTTACAATATTTTGAATATATATATGAAAATGAAAAAGTAACGGTATATAATGCAATTAAATTATAAACGAATGACGTGAATGTGGCTGCTGATTAGTGAGTCGTCGCAATTTTCTTCACACTTCACGTTCCTTTCAGCAACCATAGATTATGCAGTAACACTAATAAAATCAAGACGGTAGCTTAGAGGCTCGTACTGCTCAGTTAACAATACTGTCTTCATATAAAAAACAATACAAACCATGTTACTCGTGTAAACACGTGTTAGTCTGTGTTTATTTATTGCAACTTACAATAGGAATATTTATAATTTCAATTATAAGATAGTTACTAATTATTAGGTACAAAGAATCTTAGTTCGTTAATTTTATAAATCAGTTTGAGTAACTGCTCGCAATTGCAATTTAATAAATTATTTGACTAATTGAAATAAACTAGAAAACTTGTTTTAATAAATCGTCGATTAATCATCGGTTTGTAAGAGTGGCGTGCCGTCGCCCACTGCATGTCGAGTATATGACAAAAACTTTCATTACACTTGTGCTATGACAAGTGTTTTACAATGATTGAGAATTCAAAATTCCACCAAGTAACATTAATACAGCACTAATAATAAAAATAATTAACCTAACCTAACCTATGGAGGGATTGTTAGTAATGGAGACCAAAAATCCCATTGCTAGCAATATACCCAACCAAGTCGACCTCCTCGTGGTTCCCCCTGGAAACTATCATGGTTAATTCCTGATGAATTCATCATGATGGGCTAACTGGCCTGTTTTCATTCTCATCGATCACCCTTCACTGGTGCTCCGCCAGCGTATCCCGTTAGCGCAGGCGAGGTTACCATTCCATTTTCACCCATCAAAAAAATAACCTAACCTATGCTAGACTTCCACATTAGATTGTCTAATTAAAAACAAACTAGTAATCTAATTAAAAAAATAATGTTTACGAGCATTAAATAAGGAATAATACTGATAAATATTATTATTCATACCTAATCTATAACAGTACTAATTTCTACTCTTTCGCTATTGTCTTGTTCATAATATTATTAAGAGGGAAGGGGTCATTAGCAATGCTGAATACTGTATTGTTAGCAATATACCCAGTCAGGTCGACCTCCACGTGGTTCCCCTGGAAACCTTTTCATCCTCACCCATTATCTCTCACTGATGCCCCGCCAGCGGATATCATTAGCACAGACGGGGTTACTATTGCATTATCATCCATTAAAAATAATATTAGCTAAAATAATATATAAGAATATTGGAAGTGGAGGCCCTGCCTGTAATGATCAGATAGACCAAGTACGGAAAAGAAACATGTTTCCAGAAAAGTATCCGGAACTGAAAACTATATATGGGACAAATAGAATACGGATAAAGATCTTTGGCACTCACTTCCAGCATACCCAAAAATCCCTAAAGGACTTGGCATGAACACGGACACAATTATCAAAACAAGCCACAAGATGCGTGAAATCAATCTCTTTTACTGCAAACATATATCTGAGTAGCAGTTTAAACAAAGGATTCTATCATTCATATAGTCATTTACTGAGAACGTGAATTTATTGCTCACAACATTTTCCTACTTCCGATGTCTTTATAGCTTATCTACAAATACAGAGAAGGTGTACGGGACACCAACTAAAGTACCTGAAGCTTCAGATACTGGCTGTGTTGTTGCCACGATGGCTTCAGAAACTGTCGTCACGGTCGAAGGTGAAACATATACCGATACCGGAGCCGGAGCAACAGGCGAGACCGTCGCAATGGGTGCAACTGCCACCGGCTGGCTTAACGACTGCTTCACAATACACCTCGACATTATACTTCCATTCACAATAACACAAATTACATACAACAAAAACCGGTAACGAGTTGACAAACACAAGCCGCCGCAACAAACATGAGACTGTCGACCCGTTCCAAATATGAAGTTTTATTTATTTTTAATTTTGGCGCCACTTTTGCGTAGTGACGCTTGCCAACCAAGCACTACCAATTGCGGTACAGATAAAAAATATGAATATGTGAATTACTTTTTTTTTTAAATAGATTAAGTTAGTTGAATTTATCATAAAATATTGAAAGACTAACCTGGAGGTCTATAAATCTCTAGTGTAGGTTTCCCTTTTGCATTGGTCAGAATCATGCTCCGCCGTTTCCCATTATTCGAAAACTGAAACAAATTTGTTATAATTAAGAATATATTAAATTATTTCGTTGACATGATTATACAACATTCGTCTAGATCTGAACTTTGTCACGTTTTATTTTCAGAAGCTTATGATGAGGCGAGATGAGTCCGAATTCTCGTAACATCATCGACTAATATTAACATACCGATGACTAAATCTTATATTATGTATAAAAAAAAAATACAAATAAAAAAAAACATTAACGGTAGAATAATATTTAAATTCATAACCTTCTTGTGATTGTTAGTAAACCTAGATATTTTTTGCTAAAAACTTACGTGTCGAAAACCTAGGTGTGTGTCTTATTAACACTGATGATGTAAATGGTCACCAGCAGAATTGACTAAGAGTAAATACTTGTCGATATAAGTAAGTATATACAATGTATGACTAGACTTGTCATATATACTGAACGCTGTTTTTACCCTTACCATTGTCTATTACGCCCAATTTTTTTATTTTGATCATCATCATCATCATCATATCAGCCGTTAATTGTCCACTGCTGAAAGTAGGTCTCCAACTATTGATAGGGGTTTTGCTAGTAGTTGCCACGCTTGGCAGACGGATTGGCAATCGCAGTTAGGTTTTGGTGCTACTTTAAGAGAGACGCTGCTGCCCATTCCTCGACCATTAAGTAACCGGGATAGGAATGAGTGGTTCATAATTCTATGCCGGGACAATAAGGCAGGCACGGCATTTCATATAGATAAAAAGTAAAACCTAATCCCTTTAAAGTCGAAGTAAACATTACACATTTATAAAATTTAATTTAAATCGAATGTGCAGGTTCGAAGATTTACGTGAAAGAACACTGCGACTGGGGATTACGTATTATAAAAATAAAAAATAAAATATATTAAGTTAATGTTATTTATAAAAATGTAAAAATTTAATCCAAAATTTGATTTTATAATTTATATCTGGTACAAATTAATATTGTTAAAATTTTGTGGGCCCTGGTTGTCTTTATTAAAGAATTTATTATTATTATTATATTAATATAAACATTTTAAAAAATGTTTGTTTTATTTGTTTTTTTTTTTAAGATAAATACACATATTATTAAAAAAAAAAAGACAAGAAGAAAACGAAATTTTATGGAGTTGTAAACTATTTGAACGGATCTCAAGTCATTCTAAAAAAAATATTGGTTACGAAATGAATAGTGGATCGCGCAGACTAGTAGTGGGCGATGATTGCATATTATGTACTACGCCCACTGCGTATAATGGCATGCATTATAAATTCATAGTCAATATGATTATATTTTAATTACCAACATTGCATAATGCATAGCATAATATTATGTCGAATTCATTTGGCATTCACAAAAGGCAATCAAATATTGTACTTATTATTATATTTATGCCTCGAAACTTTATAATACACAAATACATGCGTTCAATAGTCTATGGTTAATAATGTACCTGTATGTAATGTATGTATGTAATGTAGGATAGCCAATCAGAAAGCTTTCTTCCCCATCACCTTTATTAGTATTTAGTAGTTATTCATCGTTGCCTTGCTTTTCCCATTTATTTAGCGCAGTATTTTTGCCGATGACTTCTAGTCAAAGCCAAATTAATAAAAAAAATAATAATAAAGCAATAAGGCTGCCGCATATTTGTATATGCACATTGTGTATAAATACTCCTTGTATACATCTCTACTGTGCGAAATAAAGAGTTATTAAAAAAGACTGTAGTTAAAATAAATCGTAAACTAAATATAGCCAATAGGTACACAATTACACTGAAACTAAGCTTTATTAGTTTCAACGAGATTGTGTAGTATTATTATTATTCTTTAGTTCTCAGAAGAGACACAGTAGATAGAGTACCATAAATGATATAATTATTTATTTGTTTATTTAAAACCTTATTGATCAATAAAATATGGTACAAAAGGAAGACTTAATGCTATGGATATTCTCATTCATATATATATATATATATATATATATATATATATATATATATATATATATATTTCGGTGACATGTATTACTCGGCTCTACATATAAGCGACAGTTATCATTTTCTATTAGATGATTAACTCATGTTGGAAGGGGGGCCCGCCTCGGGTCTCTGGTCCTGGAATGCCCCCAAACGCCTTTATTTTCCGCATCCACATCCATGTTCTATTCATGTTGATTTAAGTCAAATTCAATATTACTTGCAAAATTGTAACTAAATAGACATACAAATGTGAACTGAATAAAAAACTTGTTAAATAACATCAATTTATTAAACTAAGAGCCTCGTTTAGCTTTGCCGCCTTGGATTTTGACGAGCTTAGTCCACTACTGATACCATTCTAATGATATAATAAAATAAATAAAAAATTCTTAAAAGGATAAAACTCTATGATAAAAAAAGTCTATGGTCAAAGTGTATTAGAAAAAATTACCTGATTATGATGCATATTGTGATGCGACTGTGGCCGTATGAAGCTGCGCTCCCTCATGATGACGCCAGGCGACGCGAAGTCCTGCATCCTATAGCTCCTTTGCAGTTCGTTACCTACACCTATTTGAGTCTGCATCTTGGCTTAGTTTCGCACAAACTCTTTACTTTTTAAAATAAGACTATTTGTGCGAGATTTATCCGCGATTATAAGAATGTGTATTTTCTGCCAGTATTAACGAATCAATTTTTTTTTCTTTGGTGATTATGCGCTCTGGCATAAGTATTCTTTTTTTTTTTAAAGATAATTTGAATTTATTTGAAGAATATCGAACTGTTTAGTTGTTTATTTAGTTCTAAATATTCACTAAAATCTACAAGATTTAATTAACAAAATAAATACACTAGATGAATGACTAGTATTAAAGTTACTTTTACACAATGTCACGCTTATTTTTTTTTTTATTTTTTGTTATATGTATAAACTTTTAACTTCAAAATTTACAAATTTGAAATACATACAAATGTAGAAAACTATCTATAATGGGCAATACACTTCAAAATGCGCAGTAAACAAAGCTTTATTATTAAGAGTAGTATAGGTAGATCACAATAAATTATTGTGACGTCACGTTAGAGATCACTTCTCAGCGATTTATATATGCATATATAAACGTATGTACAATATAAGGAACCCTTCTGTCGTGGCCACTGATAGAGGGTATTTTCGTGTTATAATTCGTTATATACGACTAATTACAAGAGCAGTGCAGGATTATTTTAGTGCCTGACAGCCACCGAGCGATTTTTACAGTGTATCGAGGGACCGAGAAGTGCACTTCTCCGGCACCAGTCTCGATTCGTTTCGTCGAAGGTTTCCACAACCTCAATCTGTAACAAAACATAATGAAATTATCAAATGTATTGAAATATAAATAGAACGGCGCCAGATAGCACTTAGATCCAAGGGATGAGGGGCGGACAGCTACAAAAATCTTAGAGTGATGCCATAGGATTAGTAAAAAATGGCATCAAATTCTACTCTGATGTAAACAGAATGGATCCTAGATGACTTTGTTTCAGATCAACATCGGATGTCTCATTCTAACTCATAGACTTGTTAGTAATGTCGATTCCATCAACTATTTCGCTTGCCACCTGTCTAAGGTCTAGAGGACTTGGTGTATTTTCATCACGATGGGTCAACTGACTTGTCTTTGATTCTCACCTATCGTCACTCACTGGTACCCCGCCAATATATACCGATAGCACAGACGGGGTTACCATTGTAGAGGGTCACAGTAAAAAAATAATATTTATTAAAAAAAAAAAACAATATAAAAAATAATATCAACATATAGATGTCGTCAGACTTAAATTTACAATATGGCTACAAAGAAGTTTCAATAACCATTTCATCATCACCTAATAAAAAAAAACTCATTTGTATGTAATAACATATAAGTAGGTATAGGTAATATTGGAAATGTAAAAACATGTATATAAACTATAGAATACAATTAACACATCGGTATTTCGATTGTACATTTTTAACAAATGCCCGTTGCCTTGCCTCGTTGAATAAATACCACGGTTGCATTGAAAAAAGGAAATAATTATATGTCGGCTCGTGAGTGAATTGAGGCGTGTTGGCCAAATTACCGACGATATGCCGTACAGAGTTACACTGAAATACGCATACAAGCCGAAACAAAAATAAATAGATATCGTACTAATAAGTAATATTGAGAACCACAGTAGATAAATATATTTTACTTCGTATAAAAATAATTATAATAAAAAGGATAAGCTGGACAGAAAAAATTACGAATGAGGAAGTCCTGAAAAGAGTGAACGAGAAAAGAGCACTAATTAAAATAATAGAGAATAGAAGAGGCAAAATGCTGGGCCACCTTATACGACATGACGATTTTTTAAGAGCATAGTAGAAGGAAAAATAGAGGGCAAAAGAGGAAGAGGAAGATCGAGGAATAACTACATGGGACTGATAAAAGAAACACTAGGTGTCATGTCTTATAGGGAGATCAAGGATGTGGCCTGGGATAGAACTGGCTGGAGGAAGATGCATAAATTAGTTGCAACGACAAGAGGAAACTCTTAAATGAAAAGAAGAAAAATAGTTATTGGAATCGTTACAAAATACACATCATCATTTTAATATTTTGTCTACTGCTTAACATAGGCCTCCCCCATAGACTACCATAAGCCTCCTAAGACCCTAAATCCCTAATCCTTTAGTCCTGAACCACCTACATCTACTACAATGGTCGATTTAGATAAAATTTAAATAAAAAGGATTTTTCAAATCGTTTTAGAACTGACGGAGTTATGACATAACAAATAAAAAAAAATATAACCGAATTGAGAACTTTCCGAATCTTCTGTTTGAAGTCAGTTGTTCTGTTTAAAAATCTATAGAGAAGAGAAAGGAATCTAAAATCTCCTTTTGGGAATTTTAATGTTACAGATCTAAATTGTAGACTGTAAATGAAAAAGTTACTCAAGTGTTACGAGTTCGTTGAACTCTAGAAAAATTAAGTATTTGCAATTTCTTAATTGTAAAGAGTAAAATCTGAGAGGTACATAACTGGATGCCACTTTCGCTATTAAACTGAGAATGTAAATACTCGTATGATGACGCTTGCGCAGAGTTTTGGCTGATAATTGTATAATCTAAAACTTTATAATCATTTTGCTCTTTATACTGTGACATGAGTCATTTTGTATTACACCTATTACTGAGTTACGAACAAGAAACTGTATTATGAGCAATGCTTTTAGATAGATAGATAGATATTTTTTATACCAGTAATGAAAATAAAAAAAAAATCAACAATAAAAAGAGAGAAAAAAAAATAATTTTGCTGGTAATAGGAGCCGCCTCAGCTATTGCTATATATGTACAACTCCAGCGAGAAGTACCTATATAGCGCTGATTTTCCCATTTTCCTGGTTATCCCATAAAAAACCTGCATATTTATAGTAGCCTAAATACTCATTTAAAGGATTGTTAGTAATGAGGTAACAGTCTCATTGCTAGCAATATTGAATATCAGATCGACCTCCATACGGTTTGCCCTGGAAACCATCGTAGTTAAGACTTGTCTAATTCATCATGACGGGCCATTTGACTTGCGTTCATCCTCACATATCATCACTCACTGATGTCCTGCCAGTATATACCAATAGCGCAGGCGGGGTTGCCATTCTATTTTCACCTAATAAAATATATATCCATCTTTAACGGGGAGGGACCCATGCTCAGAGGAGAAAGGGATTGTTAGTAATGGGGGTCTAACTGATACATTGCTACGAAATACACCCTATCAGGTCGACCTCCACGTGGTTCCACCTGGAAACCATCGTGGTTTATTCTAGTGGAATTCATCACGATGGGCTAACTGACCTGCTTTCATCGTCACCTATCATCCATCACTGGTGCTCCGCCAGCGTATACCTATAACGCAGACAAGATCTTTTTTTTAATGGATGATAACGGAATGATAACCCCACCCGCGCTATCGATATACACCGACGGGGCACCAGTGAAGGATGATGAGTGAAAGGTGAGGATGAAGTAGGTCAGTTAGCCCATCGTGACGAATTCAACAAGAATTGTTTACGATGGTTTCCAAGGGGAATCACGTGGAGGTCGACCTAATAAGGCATATTGCTAGCAATAGGGCTGTTGAACTCCATTGCTAATAATCCCTTTCCCCCCAACGCAGACGGGGTTACCATTCCATTATCATCCATTTAAATAAAGAAATACCCATGGTCAGAATAAGTTGTTATGTTTTATGGTACTAAATAGCTTAGTCATTGAGGCATTGTGTTGTACAATTAAATAAACGCTATCACGATTACAACAGGTCAATGGGTGCCGGAGCGTAAAACGTGTCCACAGGAGGTGAGCAATTACTACGCGCTGTAATCTAGTTGGAATTGCAATTTATTTTTCATATACATACATAGGTAAATTATAAGACTATCTGATCATTATATACAGTATATATATTTATCGAAGATAAATTATAGTACCGATTATGTACTCTTGCAAAGTATGATTAGGTATACACCAATACTTGTAACAAAAAAAATATACTACAAATAATTTAAGACTTTGTACCGCAGTAATTTAAGATTGTTTTCCACAAAAAACCGACTTCAGTTGTGGCAAAACCAGTTAAAAACATCAACCTCTAACTATTCACTGCTGAACATATGCCTCCTCCTTGGAGGGGAGGCTTGGCAAGCGGATATGGCAACCGCAGTTAGGCTTTGAAGATGTTTTAATAGGAACACTGTTGCCCATCCCTTGACCTACTTTAGTCGCCTCTTACGATACCGGGAAAGGAAGGGCAAAGGCAAAACCAGTTTATTTGATTAAAAAGTGAAATTACTGAACCAATTTTGATAATATTTCTATGAGACCCTATTTAAAAGTATAGGAAGTAAGTAAGTACATTGTTCTTTCAGATAAAAAAGAAATTTTGTAAATCAGTTTACATATGATGTAGTTATGTAAAAACAATAGAACCGAATTGACTTCAAAAAAGGTGGAGGTTCCCCTCCTTTATTGAAGTCTTCTACTACTAGCCTATGAATGCCTGCAATACCAAAGGTATTACGCGCGCGTTGCCAACCCTGAAGAAACCTCTTTACCCCCTTTTTGAAGAATCCCATGCTATAGTCTCTTGGGAAAACCTCGGCAGGGAGATCATTCCATAACCTGAGTGTTCATGGAAGAAAACATCTCTGAAACCGCGTTGTACGCGACCATTTAGTCTGTAGGGTATGAGGGTGAACTTCCTGTCGATGGCGAGCCGTACGATGATAGAAAGTGGCCGTAGGCATCATATTGAATAATTCCTCTGAGCACAATCCGTTGTACAAGCGGTAGAACACGCAGATCTAAAATAATATCTAAAACTACTCGTAATCTCGATTTTAAATATCATTAGCCGATTTTTATAGCGCTGCGACTGACGGACGAATGGATGGATACGCACCATTAGAAAGTATATAGTTTATATTTTAAAAAATTTCATTGTTGATAGTTGAAAAATATGCTCCTGATCCTGATGGGGTGGGCACTAGAGAATTCAAAGGTGGGCATGGCCCACCCGTCCCCCCCTTTAAACCCGCCTATAAAACTGTCTGTAGTGTGACTCACCGCTCTCTCGTCGTGCGCTGTCCGTCGTTTGTTCGTGCTCTGCACTCGAGACTCGTTCACTTTACTCGTATTTATTTCACTGTAACAACGAGAAAGTCCACTGTAATAATGTTCCCACGTATAAAGGTGTTATTATTAGCGAATATTCTAGAAAGAAATACTTATTACCAATATTAATGATGTTGCCGTTCGATGGAATTTTGAATTCGTAATTATAAAAACTTGAAATGAAAACCGATGGGTAAAAAACGTTTTTGAATGGTGCCCCGTAGAAAAAAAGAATAAAAAAAGGCAGGTCAATTAACCCATCGCGATGAATACACTTGGAATTCAGCACGATGGTTTCCAGGGGGGACCACGGGAGGGTCGATCTGATTGGGTATATTGCTAGCAATAGGGCAAATAGTCTCCATTACCAACACTCCCTTCTCCCCCCCGGCCCCAAACGACGACCCCCCAACCGAGAAAAAGCGGCGACTTCTAATGCTTTGCAGTTGTGGATCCAAAAGTTTCTGGATGCGGGTGGCTGGGGATAACACCTTCAAATCAGATCTGTGTCCATTATTTATATTTACACTAAATGTTAGTTAAATTATAAATGTAAAAGCAAGTTTGTTTGTTACCTTATAGCGCTTTGACGGCTTAACCAATAGCTATGAAATTTGGTGAAGCATATAGCCTACTTTTTATCCTGGCCAGTAAACGAATCCCGATCACTTTGACGAAAGCTAGTTCCAAAATATTTTAAATTTATTTCGTCTAAGTAAAAATCAATTTTTATACATTATTTTTTTAAGATAACGGACGCTTACACCTATGATGGAGAATTGCCAAAGCCATGCACTGTATAATATATGTTAACACCTGCCCGGTGCGACGACCTCAATGATAAGAAGTCCACAAACATGCACGCCGTGTACATTACCTGTCTAAAATTAAATTTAGACAGTGCATTTACCGAGTGAGTTCAAGAAACTATTTTCTAATCATATTTTTATAGCAATTTATATATAGTAAATGTGTTTTTTTTTAATGGGTGATAATGGAATGGTAACTCCACCCGCGCTATCGGTATACACCGGCAGGGCACCAGTGAAGGATGATAGGTGAGGATGAAGCAGGTTAGTTAGCCCATCGTGACAATTTCAAAAAGAATTGTTCACGATAGTTTCTAGGGGGAACCACGTAGGTCGACCTCGACCTAATAGGGCATCTTACTAGCAATGGGGCAATGGGAAATAGTCAAACTCCATTGCTAACAATCCCTTTCCACCCCAGAATAAATATGTTAAAAATAAGTTTGAATTATAAAACTATACTACCCTCCTAAAGTAATAAATAGTTGTTTTTAAGGGGTTACTTAATGAGTTTAAAGGCTTTGTTATGCTCTATAACAGATATTTATTTATTCATTAGTACATGCACGTGTACATGGCGGACTCAATGCTAAAAGCATTCCCTCCCAGTCAACCATAGGGAAGTGTCAGAATACTCGAATGCGGTACTACTAATTATTGATATACATATTAATATATAAACAATTAGATGTATTTTATTATTATTATTATTATTTTAGTCAGTAACTGTCCACTGCCGAACGTAAGCCTAACCAATGTACAACATTGGACAAATAACGGTTAATATAATAATAATATAATAATCTAAAATACATAAATAAATGTTAAATAGATATAACAAGAAACATTTTGCATTAGTTTCTAATCAATTTATTGTAATTTTAATTATGTACTTATACTTGACCTAGTCGTGTGTTATTTGTATTAGAATTCTAGATTAACTTTAAAATAATCTAGAATTCTAAACCCTAGAGATAACCTACAGTCTGGGCCGCGTGAGAATTAATTTAGTTCACAATCGATTAATAATAATGATCCCTGCTATAAATGGGATCACATAATTTGTATAATATGGAGAAATCAAGAGCTTGAATCTATATAATTGACTACGAAATTCCTGAAAACAAATAAAATTTTAAAAATAAAGGTGTTTATTAATTAAAAAATAATTTAATTTATTAATAAATTATTCTAAAATTACCAATTGCTAACAATCTCCAAGACCAAAAGTTCAATTAAATTCGATTCAATTTATTCATAACAATATTACATTCTGTTGTATATAACAGTTGTACATAAGTTACAAAAAGACATCATAAAAGAATTTTACAGTACACAGAAAAAATATGAAGGAATGAAATAAAAAATATTAATTGAGTAAATTAGTTATTATTTATTAGGTACCTATGTGCATACAAACAAACAGGGAAACTAACCATAAACAGTGACTTAGATCATCATAATCACGTAATTAATATGGGACCAATACGAGATTAACTTTTTTTTTTATACAACTTAGAATGGCAAACAAGCTGACGGCCCACCTGATGGAAAGTAGTAACCGTCGCCTATAGACATGAGCACTACTATAGACATAACAGAGTATACTGTTTCGCACATGATACCCCCCATGCGTTGCCATTCCTAAGGACTCAGGTGTTATTCCTCTGTACCCTGTAAATTCACGCCATATCCCATCCTTCAAACCAAAACATAGACATGCAAACACAACTGCTTCATGGTAGAAACACGAATGGGACAGAGGTACCCAAGCAATCGACTTTTGTACAAAGTCTCCCTCTAGCAACGCTATCTATTGCATAAAGAATAATAAAAATCCATTTAAAATTATGTGCGAAGACATCTCTTAATTTAAGTAAAGATTAAGAAAATCCGCTCTTTGAAGTCTAATCTTACTAATATATTAAAATTATTCAGAGATGTTTTCTCCCATTTAACACTCACATCCAATACTCAGGTTATGGAATGAGCTCCCTGTCGAGGTTTTTTCAAGAGATTACAGCGTGGGATTCTTCAAAAAAAGGGTAGAGGTTTCTTCAGGGTCGGCAACGCGTGCGTAATGTCCTTGGTATTGCAGGCATTCATAGACTACGGTTACTGCTTACCATCAGGTTTACCATATGTTTGTTTGCCACCTCAGTGGTATAAAAAATAATATATAATAAAATTGTAACTAGACTGAAAATATTTTAGAAAAATTAACATGAAAAATCTTTAGAAGGGCAATAGATGTCAAAACACTAATTTAAAAAAAATCTATTTGGTTAACTGTATGTTTGTTCCGGTATCACGCAAAAACTATTACAGCAAATAACATGCTATTTTCACAGTTGTATTCCTGAAGATGTAACTTAAAATTAAGTAAATGTTATAATATATTTTGTTATTCATCTAGGATTGATCAATTTCATTGTTTTTCCTCTTTCTGAAATCCACACGTTCGAAATAACGGTTTTTTTTTTTTAAATAAATATCTATTAAAAAAAAACATCATTTGTTTTATACAAAATTCTCATACACTGAGAAATTGTAGGCGTCGCTGAATGACATCACCGTGTTTACTCGTGTAATGCCTTAGACCAACACACAGACACGTAATTTGAATTGAATGAGTTATAGCATAGAAATATCTGCTTTGCGAAAGTTAATCTTTAGATAATAAATTTAAAGACCATAATAGCGTGGTAATAGATGTGACATACGACATCGACCGTCTATGATACCATCTGTGTACATATTTTAAAGTCTGTATACGTTCTAGGTCACTGGGCACGAGCTTTGTTTCCTCTGCATTGATAATCTTAATGAAATTAATCATTAATACATTTGAAGGCGATGTGAGTAATCTAATTCTAACTATAATTCCATTTTTTGTTTGTAATGGATAAACTAAAAAAAATATTTAACAAATTAAAAAAAAAATCAACCATAGAAAACTACATTACTAGCGCATAACAAGAGCTGTTATTTTATTTAAAAAAAAGCCGTACAAAACTGAGGCGGGTCGCTAGTCGATAATAAAACCTTTAGTGTCTGTCGAATTTGTTATGATTATCTTTTTAATTTTATATCTCAATATTTACATTAAAAACCCTTCCATAGAGAAAAATATAGAATATTAATAGTACTACCATGTTTTTTTAATGGGTGATAATGGAATGGTAACCCCACCCGCACTATCGGTATACACTGGCGGGGCACCGGTGAAGGATGATAGATGAGGATGAAGTAGGTCAATTAGCCCATCGTGACGAATTCAATAAGAATTGTTCACGATGGTTTTCAGGGAGAACCACGTGGAGGTCGACCTAATAGGATATATTGCTAACAATAGGGGTGTCAATCTCCATTCCTAACAATCCCTTTCCCCCCAGTACTACCATGTCAAACAAGCCGTGCAGTTAATCAGAGGTGCACTTCCAGTTTTCTTTCTTTTACGCTAGTATATGTTTTCTCACTCGCCTCTTACGACATCCTGGTGATGGAAAAAATTGTGATAAAGCGTTTTCACCGATAATATTTTTTTTTTATTTATTTATTGAAATAAATTTATTGATCAATAGAAAATATGGTACAAATGGCGGACTTCATGCTAGTAGCATTCTATACCAGACAACCTTTTTTTTAATTTACCGATATGATTAAACCCGTAATCGGTGGGTATAATAATATTGATATAACAGCTGCAGTACGCTAGTACTACTAATTAAATCTCATTAGGTCGACCTCCGCGTGGTCCTCCTTGGAAAACGATGTTGTTAACTCCTAGTGAATTCGTCATAATGTGCCAACTGATTTGACTTCATCCTGACCGTAAAAATAAAAAAAACTACAACAAATAAACAACAATACAAATAGATTTTATTGCACATTAAACTTCCACAAAAAAATCTGACTTCAATTGTGGCAAAAGCAGTTGTTTTTAAAACTAAACTAGTGAACCGATTTTGATAAAACTCCTATAGGACCAATCTGTAAGTATATTTTTTTAGATAAATAAAGATTGTCCCAAATCAATTTGTAACTAAAGGAGTTACGAGGTAATCATCAACATTTAAAAAAAAATATACAACTTAATTGCGAATCTCCTTGTTTTTGAAGTCGATTGAAAAAAAATCTAACTTTAGTCGTGACAAAACCGGTATTGGTAAATCCTTTGAATTAACTATTTTCCAAATCGGTTTATAAATAACGGAATTCT